CTTCCGCGCCGGGTTCCCTGGCTGCACAGATCGACAACACGGGGGTGCAACACGTCTTCCTAAATGAAGAGCGAGTTGTGCCCACTGCCACTACTGATGGTTATTGGTTCCTGGACACCGGAGCTAGCAATCACATGACCGGGAATAGGGAATTATTCACCGAAATTGATGAACAAATCAAAGGTACGGTCAAGTTTGGTGATGGGTCTATGGTTGACATTCAGGAGCGTGGATCCGTTTTGTTCGCTTGTAAGAACAACAAGCACAAGGTTCTGACAGAGGTCTACCAAATCCCACGGCTAAAAACCAGTATCGTCTCGCTAGGACAACTAGCTAAGGTGGGTGTCAAGATCGTCATCAAAGAGGATGAGATATTGCTATACGATCGACGTCGTGCTCTGCTCGCCAAGGTCAAACGGATGCAAAAAAGGTTGTACTCCGTCATCTTGACTCTAGTGAAGCCGGTGTGCCTGCTGGCGCATGCTGGAGATGTGGCGTGGCGCTGGCATGCGTGCTACAGTCATCTATATTTTCGTGGCCTACAAGATCTCACCATCAAGGGCATGTTGAAAGGTATCCCGACGATCAGTGGCCATGAGCAGTTTTGCGAGGGATGTGCACTCGGGAAGCAACACCGTGTTCCATTTCCTAGCATCACAGCGTATCGCACGAAAGAGCGCATGGAACTCACACACGGGGACCTCTGCGGTCCCATAACCCCAGAAACCCTTGCCAGAAACAAGTACTTCCTTCTCATCGTCGACGATGCAAGCAGGTACTTGTGGGTGGAGATGCTGAAAAACAAGGACGAAGCTTTGAGGTTCTTCAAGAAAATCAAAGCATTAGCTGAGAATGAGTCTGGTCTCAGAATGAAGGCATTCAGAACTGATTGTGGCGGTGAATTTATCTCAGCCGAGTTCGCTGAATTTTGCAGTGAACAAGGACTACGACGACACAACACAGCCCCCTACACGCCACAACAAAATGGCGTAGTGGAACGACGGAATCAGACGGTCGTTGATATGGCAAGATGCACGATGAAGAGTATGGGGTGCCAACAGTGCTCTGGGCAGAGGCGGTCAAGGTAGCAGTGTATGTTCTGAACAAATCACCTACGTGTGCTCTCCAAGGCGTTACACCATATGAAGTCTGACACAAGAAGAAACCCAATGTGAGCTATCTGCGCACTTTTGGTGTGTAGCTTATGTGAAAATCGTAGGGCCTGGAGTAAAAAAAAAATTAGATGACAGGTCTGTGGCCATGGTGTTCGTCGGGTATGAGGATGGCGCAAAACCATATCGCGTTTACAATCCATCCACGAAGCGCCTTCACATCACCAGAGATGTGATCTTTGAAGAAGAGCGGCAGTGGGACTGGGCAAAATCAGGAGTAGAGCTCGAGCAACCAAGGGAATTCGTCGTCATCTACAATAATGATGAAGAAAAGGTGTGTGGATCACCATCAGCATCAGCACCTGTATAGCACATGTATCTCAGCCGTGCACAACTGACAAAGAAGAAGCAGTAACTTCGGGCGGCAGTGAGGCTCAGAGGTCTAGCCCAAACGATGGGCCTGATTCGGAGACTGAAGAAGATGAGCCTACATTGGAAAATGACAGAGTATGGACAGTTGGGCCGACCCAAGGACATCCGATGCAAACGCGCTCGAGGGATGGGATAGTGAAGCCCAACCCAAAGTACAAAGATGACGAGTTCATTTATAGTGGTCTCTGTCTTTTCACTGTTGAGGAACCTGCTACTGTTGAAGAAGCTTTAAGTGCACCAGCATGGAAGAAAGCAATGCAGGAAGAGTTGAGCGTGATCATCGAAAACCAAACATGGGAGCTGACAACTCTCCCTCCTGGACACCGAGAAATCTGTCTGAATTGGGTCTTTAAGCTAAAGAAAGATCGTGCCGGGAAGATTGTGAAACACAAGGCCAGGTTAGTAGCTAAGGGCTATGTTCAACGACAAGGAATTGATTTTGAGGAGGTTTTTGCCCCAGTGGCTCGCATGGAGACTGTGAGACTGCTATTGGCCCTAGCTGCTCACAATAGATAGCAAGTACATCATATGGACGTCAATAGTGCATTCCTGAATGGAGACCTCGCAGAAGAGGCTAACAGGGCGGACTGCTAGTTTTTGAATACGAGATATCCATCCTAGTCACTATGGTCGTATTTGCCCAATTGGCACATCTGAAGCAAGACCAATAATAAGAAAGACTATTTACATTCATTTTCTGATTCGATTTTCATTATGTTCAGCAGCCGGCGGGTGAATTGATGCTGATGTGAAAATTGCATGCAGAGGCCTACAATTGATGTTATGATAATTTATATCTGTTCTTTTCAATCTAT